GGGAAGATTTTATGAGGCTTGTTGAGGAAAATAACGAAAAAGATGTCTAATTTTAACGTGTGTCACCATAAATGCGTTAAGTTATGGGCTAAGGCTCTCCCTGAACTCATTGGTAGGTTAGCCTTCTTCTTAGAACTCGCTAGGTGGTGCCAGCACACGATAGCGCTTTATCGGCTAGAGCTTAGGACTGGAACGAATTTTGCGCAATCTTTTCCCATTTATTTCCTTGACCTTATAGCAATTATGTACACACGGCGGATTAGCTGTTGGAACTTTCCACACCGGATTTTCTCCCTCCGTAACCATGTAATAATTAGCTTTTCTTGTTAAGAAATACTCGACAAATTTTGAGCGGTGCTCTTTGACATCATCGCGCTCGTGTCCCTCGAAATAAGGACGCTGAGAGTTCTTATCGAACTTTGCACCCCAACGCCTTAGATCGAGGCGACACGAGGCCACCGAACGTATCAGCGCACTGTCATCATTTTTAACAATGTTTGACTCTTCATAGAATCTTTTGTCGATAAAATGAGCCAAATCTAATGCAGAGAAATCGGCAGCTTTCTGACCACAACGTTCTAAACTATACAGTTTTGCCTCCGTCTCAATTTCTGGAAAGTAGTCATAAAAACTACTACAGTGCTTTCCTCCGCGATTTTCCACCATAAAATCGCCAAAATTTCCATTCACTAATACTTCCGTCCATTTCTGTGCTGTCTGACTTGTATAACCACCGATTGTTTTTAAAATATCGTCGCACTTTTCATATGTTATACCAACGTGTCTCAAACTCATGTACAGAAGACAACTAATGGATTTTAGGCCACATTTCTTTTTACATATTTCGAAAAGGTCACTGATGTCATTTAAAATATTTTTATTTTTATAATCGATATGAATTCTTTCATCCTCTGCCTCCAGTTCCATCGGTTCGATGACATCGTCGGCTTCGTTTTCATCATCTTGGCCAAAACTACTGGCTTCAGTTGTACGAAGTTTTGCTTGGACGGTTTTGGAATGTTGTTGACGGCGAGATGTGTATAGCATGATTAAAATAAACTTTTAAAACTTTTAACTTAAATCTGTAAAAATGGTATAAGAAAGCGAAAGGGAGATGTTTAAGTTACACCTAATTAAGCTGTGATGTGCGTGTGCTATGAAACGCATACTTTGAAAAGATACGTTCAACGTATTAGTTAGAACTTGTTCCGCGTGTAATACAGATATTAATTTTTCATCAGTGATACACCTGAAGCTGACAGTTTCTGCAAACCTAGCGTGAAACGGTGTTTTTACTAAAACCTACTTTGAAAAATTCTCCAAATACCTTCCA